AGGCATAAGAAATTAATCCCAATGATGAGTATTTCTAAATTTGGTCTTTTTTCTTTATTCGTTATGTATGCCCTAAATGTTATAAAATATAATTTGGAAAGAATCATTTGTAGTTCTATAAGGACAATTTGTTATATAACATTTTTTGAATACATTTTGACAGAAATTGACTCTTGGCTTGGACCAAGTTTTGAATTTTGTCCCCCTTATTTAACTGTGTAAATCATTAAGTATTTTTGAATTTTTAAATGTTTAGTCCAGTCAACTTTGATGTGATGCTCCGTTAGATAGTTATCAAGAGTTAGTACTATAGTGTACCGATACCAATACCAGTATCGGTACAGATCCCAGCATTTTTACAAGTACTTGTACAAAGTACGATAGCGATACTCCATTCGGTGTGTTACAGTTTACACTTCAAGTGAAAAGTTTATCATTTCCTTACAAGTTGCAAGACGATTTTAAAATGTTTCAACAGTAAATATCTGTTTATTTGATTTGACTCATTCAGAGCAGCTGTTGGTCTTTAATGAAGGTTCACAATAAAAAATAGGGTTTTTAAAGTCATTGTTTAAAGTTTAAGTTCTWACTCAGTAGGTACTCCGTATCGGTGAGTACCCAAACTGAAGTACTTGTACTCATAATTGGCTTGAGAAAAACTGGTATCGGGACACCACTACTACATCATCCACCTAAACTTCATCTAGGCTAGGATAAGGATTTGATTTGTATTATTTTCAGKCTTAGAAAACAATTACACACAATTAAACAGGCGTAAACGAATGCTACACAACAAACTACATCCTCATCCATAACGCATAAAACCCCCATCTACATGTCTAGACCCTCATGTCACTCATGTTTTATGATTGTACACGACGGCATCTTTCTGTTCAGTAATGAACCCTTTGATTGTAACAAATTAAAACGGGTTTAAAGGTGAGCTCTTTTGAAGTGGGGCTATGCRTACGGTTTTTATTTTTGACAGAACACCTATTTAAAACACTGAAATTCTCACTTTGCACGTCATTAAACATATCCAGTATTGTTTTCTGTGGTTTGTTAGTTTAAAGGTGGATAGGGTTCTGGGTGAGAGTGGGTGGGCCACCATTGTCCCTCTGCCTCTCTAAACTTTTCTTCTCCATGTAGCTGAAGGAGTATGAGCGCAGCAAACAGTCCAGCAGTGCCGACACTGCAGAGTGGACTGAAGGATCTACAACCAATCTAAACCAGTCCTCGAACTGCAACGTAAGTACACCCCTCCACCTGTTCCCCTGTACTGTACCTCTCTTAACGCTCTGACCTTCACAGGTGTGTTTTTCTTAGCCAAAAAGATTATAAAGTAGATATTTTTTATGTAAGAATGTGCTCGTTGATGTGTGGGTTTGAGCTTGAATGCAGTTTTTTTTCCTGTACCTGTAGATCTTAAAGCATCCTCCCTTGACTTTTCTTTTGTCTTCTCCTTCTCTCTTTCTCTGCTCTGTTTTTGTGAGCCAAATAACAATGTAACTTTGCGACTACATTTCTCTCCACCATGTCACGTGCTGCCTCATTAAACCGGTCTTTTCAGAAAACCAGGGCCCAACTCTTTCACAGATTCTTTCAGARTGATTCGAACAAGGTTTTGCCCTGTTCTGTTTTGTTAGCGGAGACTTTGTCCGCTGTGATTTTGGGGGGCGTGGCGGCGATTGGGAAAACCAGGGGAGGTTAWTGCAACTTAATACTTTAAAGGTAWCATATCATGCTTTTAAATCCTTCTTTTTCACGTCTAAATCATTCACTTATGGTCTATTTAAAATAAAACTGCAACACTTTTTGGTCTTAATTCCTCGTTTTTGTTGCTCCACAGGCTCCTTGCTTTAGCCCTGTTCTGAGCTGCGTCTCAGAGCAAGCTGTTTTGGTGCGGTCTCTTTAAATACAAGTGAGATATTTCACACCCCGCCCCCTCCAGGTCCCTGAGC